TGCAGAAAGCAGACATGTTTTTGAGTTATTAGAAACTTATGCTATCGAATCAGTACTAGCACCTCAAGGGAGGAGTTCTGGCCAGTGAAATATAAGCGAGATAAGAAAGAAACACGTGGTTTTGTGGGACATGATTTTATTTTGATTTTTGCAGCGTTATAAAAGGTTGTTCTGAAAAATCAGCCATGTGGTGCTCTAGCCAGAAATCTAAGCTTTCGAATGATTACTAGCACTCCTATGAAAACTTCTTCTCCAGCGAGTGAAACAGGTTTCTCATTTGTTCCCTTATAATCAGAAAGACCTCAATGCACTTATAAGAGCTTCATTAAGTCACTAGTATTAATATGCTAAACTGGCACGATTTGTTTGTTTAACTCTTTGCAAACGGTGATATTTTTCATTGGAAATGCGACTGTTATTCAAAAGTTGGAAATTCGGCGATTCTAACTCTTTGCCTGATTTCTGAAAAATCTTCTTAATGTGCTGTAACAACAAAAATAAGATTGTGTTCACACTCGGGTGGTTTTCTTGCACGGCATTGGTCTGTGGATGGTTCATCCTTAGACTAAACTAATACTCATTCGATAGCACAAATCTCGGTAATTGCGAAGGTAAAGTTGTTTCCCAAAAGGTCTTCATAATGCGCCATAGAAGCGAAAAAAAGGCTACGTTTTATGCTCGGTGTTTTCTCGCACTGAAAAGTTATATATGCACAAAGAGTATGTGACTGTATTGAAGAAACTGTGTAGTATCAGAGTGGTACAAAAAAAAAACCTGAAGTGTTCTTCGAAACGAAGGAAAAAATGTATCAATCACGAGAATTACGCACCGCTTGCGAAGATCATTTACCGCCCGCAAAAAGTTAACCCTTTGGTTCTCATTGGCCAATCCTTTGTGTGTCTATCTGGCGAGGCTGGAGTGTCTGTTCCACCTCCTCTGCAACTCTAACCTCCAGTGTGGGTACGCACTGAATGTATCATTATATTATTTCAATTGTATTATTGTTGTTATTTTTCTGTGTTTTGTTATATGTAAAAATACTATGTCGTTATAAATAGGAAAATAATATCAATAATACAATAAGACGGTTAATGCGTTCCCACGTGTGTGTTAGAGTTGCAGAGGAGGTGGAGCAGACAGTTCAGCCTTGCCAGCTAGACACACAGAGGGTTGGTTCAATGAAATCCGAAGGGTTAAGCTGTTAGAGTTGTTGTGATTTGCCTGAACATGAACTTTTGATCTTGTAGATGTATTATGACATACTGGATGGGGACCACGTGCTATCCACTCGTGTTTTGGAGGTCTCGGTATGGAATTCTGGAGGTTTGATGGATAACAATAAGCTGTATATGCTGTACGTTCCTCTTCAAAAGTTGAAAAATCGTCCTGAAGATCGGAAAGGAAATCGGGTTCTCGAAGGATGGTTTGCGTTCGATAAGAATGTTTAACATCATCTAACATTTTTCGCAAATTTACTGTTTTCGATTTCGTCTCTGCAGTAGTTACGGACAATTTACAAGAGTCTGGTGTTGTCTTACAAAGTGTATCACTCAACGTGGTTAACATTTCTTAACACTCTATATGTGTATAGGTTTTATACGTCTTCAAAGTATATGCTGATTGTATACAAACATTCTGTCTCATTTTTATTTGCATTTGAACCTGTTACTGCTGTTCACGTTATAATTGAGGCGCAGTATTTGATGTTATATGTTCTTGCTCCTGTAGTAATCTCTCAAGTTTGCATTATGATAACATATCAATCATGAAATTATGTTGTGATCAATGGGCCTTGTAATTTTCTTTGCGAGTTTGTCGTTCATGCTTTCTTCGTGATTCTATATTTGATCGGGTATCAGTGAGCAACTATTAAATTGTTTCTAAAGTATTTTCATTGCAATAGCTCTGAGCAAGTTCACATCCTATCTGTGATATACGGAAATTGTCTTCATTTTTCTTCTTCTTTTTTTTTGCTAATGTAGTGTGCCATTTGTGATGGTTGTGGAAATTGCAAAAGTTGAGTAAACTTTATCGAAATTTATTGTCTTGTTCAGTTTGAGTTAGAACTCATTTATACGCGTTATGCGGTGGTGTTGTGTGCAGGGATGATAGGTGGGATGTAATTCTACAGTATCACATAAACAACGGAAGTTTTCTTGCACATCTGACAAGGATTAACCCATAAGGGATCACGTGTATCAGCTGAGGGTACACGCTTGTTTAAAGGCTCATCTCGCTCTACAACACTTATTTTGGAGACTTGATGATCATTCAGAAGTTCAAATTTCTGCGATTTCAAGAATATTTGATTTTGAGAAAAACCTTTTTTATTCCGTTCTAGCAGCGAGAATGAAAATTGTGTTTCACACTTAGCTTTCTTTATTTGCTCGGTTGAGGCTTGTATATGGCTCTTTGCCAAACTCTTATGAGTCAGAGTCAATATCTCAAATCTCGGTCATTTCGATGCTGTAATTGGTTATTTGGAACACGAAAAACCTCTAATTGAATAAGGAGGATCGCGTGCCTCTTGCGAGTTGCGCTGTGCGGTCGATCAACTGTCGTTCCTAAAAGATTAAATGGACTAGACGACACCACATAGTTCAAGTCGTGTCTGTCATCGTCTGTTCATTCTTCCTCGAATACAATTATCTTTAGGTTATGGTCCGAGTATTCATACGATCAAATGACAGGCTAAGCCTCATGTAAGACTATTGACAAACGGATTGAAGAGCATAAGAATTCTGATAATTGTACTATTTTTACGATGAGTCTTTAGAGTGTCGATGGGAAATTGTTATTCGTTTTAGCGAATCTGAGCAGTGATTTCACAGGATTTGTTGATTCGGCCTATCCATGTCGAATATCGTCCGTGGGGAAATAAATTCCATGATAAGCAACATCTAGGTGTATTTTTCATGGGCAAGAACTTGTTGAGAATTTCAGTCTTTTCCACTTGGTTACTGAACAAATTGCTCTCTCCGACGAGTGGTAAAACGTGTTTGTTCAATTTTAAGTGTGCGTAACGATCACATGGATAGATACAAAATAAGGTAGATAATTTATATATATTATTTATAACGACGACAACCCAAGAGCAGAGATAGATAAGAAACGAGACCATAACTATTCAGAGTGTTCCTTGTATTTGTATTTGAGTGAACAAAAAATCATAAGTATGGGCAAAGATTCGCAACCTGTCATCACATCTTACTGTGACGATGCCAATACTTCTAACATTTTATTCGTTTCCTTGTATTCTTTTTTTCAAAAAAAGGTCAACATTTCACGTGCTACTTCGGCCGTTCTCTGGTGATTTCGTCTTCTTTGTGAATGTCCCATAACACTGGTGGAGTCAGAAGTCCTTGCAGTCTCGAAGATAGCCGAACTAAGACGCTCTCACGTATTCGTGGGAGTATTGGGGAAGGGTCAAATCAGAACCTTATTTCCTGATAGCTTACATCAATAACCACTCGGCCCCAACCCGTCAATTTGAATGTTATCTCCTTTTGAAGATATCCCTTTCAAAAGCCTAACTGAAGTTTCCAGCATGGACTTACTATACATAAAGATTCTCACAAACTTATTGTTTCCGCTTTGGTAAATGAAGGCAAATTCTCAATGGATGACGAGTTTGGTGCCGAGAAAGAATTTGTCGCCTCTCATGAGTTCTGTTCTCGACAACAGTATTAGATTGTAATTATTAGTTAAGCCAACATGTCATGTGGTTTTTTATGGGCTCTCGTACAGTTCGATACTCGTGTTTCGGCTCTGCAGCTTCGTCAGTCGAGCAAGCCTTTCGTCTTCGGCCAATCCTCTCGGTAGTCCTTACATCCAACTACCTATAAGAGTAAATGACGACGGACGATTTACACAACTACCTTCAAGTGAAATAAATCACTAGATCGGGAGTGTTTGACACTCGATTGCTCTTGGCTGGTATTTTTGAAACATCATACTTTTAATTCCGAGTGTTTTCTTTAGTATTATTTTGTTTTATTCAATAGCTTTCCAATCTCCCAAATGATTATAGCCACATCTTTTTGGGAGGTAATCTTGAGTGTAGCAGCGCGAAATACAGCGGGGCAAGGGGAGAGGGGGGGGAGAAGCTATGAATAGACTGACCTCAGGGCTCCACGAAAAAAACAAACTACAGCAAGAAAAATGACTTTTCAATCCCACGAAGCAGATGAAGGCCCTTATTTCTTCTCAGGTTCAAGATAACTTTGTTCTAAAAAATGTTTTAAACCTTTCTTGAGGTTTAACATGGCACCTTTAGTGCTAGACGTACATGTCGGCTTTCTCGTAAGCCTCATCAGGAGCACATTCCATTCGGCGCACCTCTACTATTATGAGTAATCAGCGTGGAGCTACGTCAAGTGAAAAGTTCACTTGTTATGGCGTTCTTTCAAAGTGATTGATTGTCGAATGCATGGCATACGGCTGCTATCTAATAACACCTTTCAATCGACTTTTTTGAGACCTCGCTTGAAAATTCAACATAGTCTGATGTGCTGTTGATAAGGTTTGCGAGAAAGCGGAAAGGTAAATCTAACACTAGAGGTCAATATCAGTCTCCACAAAAGGCTTAAAACGTTCTATTGGACTAAGTTGGATTCTTAAGCGAGGTTCCAGAAAAGTCGTTTTTATGTTCGAATTTTGTTCTTCCGACAAAAAGCAACACACCTATGAAAACGTGGGAAAACACAGACGATTTCTATGAATTGAATTACTCCTCATGATTCTCATGAAATCATTGATTAGCATAATGGTTTACGTGAAGAATTATACAGCTATAAGTAGACCACAACAAAGATTCTAAACAATATCCATTACAACTGATATAATAACATAATTCGCATGCATATTCAGAAAGCATTTATATAGAACTGATTAGAGAATAAGATGTCAGTCAAAAAAGCCTTACCTTGTCTATGTCCATGATTGCGAGGGGCATCATTTGAACCATTATTCCATGAGAATTGAGTGGTGAGCAAAAACACGGCCTCAGCTGGGAATTGAACCCGCGTTTCATCTATACCGGGGACACGTGCTACTACCACTGCACCACCAAGGTACATTTGCCCGACCACTCATTCTACAACATCTCTATGCTAGCTATCAGCCACCAACCTTTAACAGGTTTGATGGGGTATGCGATTTCGCTTTATAAACCTAATTTAGCCACTGTCAGATATAATACTCAAGAATCCTAGTAATTTTACTGCTTTTTTCGCGGTGTTATAATGTTCAATAAATACCTAAGAAAATTGAATGGTGAGTGAAAACACGGCCTTTGGCGGGATTCGAACCCGCGTTTCATCTATACCGGGGAAGCGTGCTACTGTCACTACACGAGCGAGGTACATTTGCGCAACCACTCATTCTTCTTCTATTTTCCAGTATTCTATTATAGTCATGAAAAGACGGAAATCCTCAAGCAGCAGCTGAAGCAGCGCGTGAAATATTTCAACACTTTGATGGAGCATAAAAATGCGACAAAAAGAATGTGGGATACAGGAGAAGTTCTGAGATCTGCGCAGTAAATTGTGATGGCGGACAGTGTAAGATAAAAGAAAATAATCTGGTAACAGCACAGCTACCGATTAACAGTTTTGAGTCGTCATGCTGTCGTGATGAAACTAACCTACCTCAAAAAATGATAAGCGAAATTGTAAATTTAATACATCAAGCTTTTTCCATTTCAAAATTAATCTATACATCCCACCATTTTGATAGATGTTCATGAATTCAGAATCCTCGCCCCACCATTTATGCATTCCTATCTTCCATGAGTAACTTTGTTTCTAATACAATAAAAAAATCTCTAGTATTTCGATATCTATGCATTTAGTGTCCTGACGATAAAGGCATTTATTGAATGCCTCCGACTGTGGAGATGAACTTTTGTTGTTCGCCACTTATAACACGTACTGACTCTAAAAAGCAAATCGAATTATTAACTCCAGAGACGCATGGAAAACGGCAGAGGGCAATTTTCTTGACATTATTATGAATCTAAATCTGAACCACTCATTTCCGACCTATTTATCTGTCAATGTCTTTTTAGCTGGTTAGCTGCTTTTCCATCTCCTTAGCAGCACATTCATAGATATGATGGAATGTGGATATCGTGAGGTGTTAGGCATGTGGTAATGACGGCGATGGTGGTGCTAAGGCAATCGAATGCCGTCGTTGCTCAGTAGATGTTCTTTAACCGTTGCTATGCTTGTTGCCTGCTGACTGAAAGAACCCGTTTTCTCCGTAAGTATGATTCGATGAATCTAATGCTCAATTGCGATTGCTAAATAGTATTTTCCAGGACGTGAAACACGCACAAACTAAGTTCTCTAAGTACTGACGGCATTTCTATGAGATTCATATGTTATTTTTCCTTAGCAGTTTTTTTGCCTTTTCTTGGCGCAAAACTTTTTGCTCTGATTGCTTACTACAAATTCGGAACATAGTTCGTTAATTTGTGACCTTCTTGTTAGTTGTATTTTCTGTAAAACTCTGAAAAACAATCGCACAGAGGCACTAGTATTTTTGGAGAAAAAAATCAATACAAGTGCAATAGAAAAGCCTGATGTCTGTGCGAAGTGAAAGATTTTATTTTGCATGACTTAAATTGTTAGCTGACTAATTGTTAGGTATTGACTGAACGCTCAGAGATGATAACAGGTTAACAATCGTCGATCAAGTTCCTCAGTTGGGAAAAAAGGCGAAGCACGAACAAATTCGAGTCCACGCTTAAAGAACAAAAAAAAACTCGGTATCAAAAATATCTTAAGTCTTAGAATGTTGCAGCTTCATTTCGTTATACGAGGACATTCTTACAATCATATTCACAATGAGGTTTTTTTTCATGATTTTCTAAAAATTTCTCGAGGTTTTATTCAATTGAGGAAGGTGATGTTTTTGCACTGTCTTACACTTGTTGAAAGAAATCTTCGGAAATGTTTTCATCGCTCGTCTCACGTGATTACGTTCAAAGAAAGCCACTGATAAGATTTGTCTGTAATCATTTATGAATGGAACTCTAAGCAACGATTCGATGTAGATTTTGTCTAGTAACATCGTACAAATAGACCAAATTCGATTACCATTATTCGATTATTCGAATAATCAAAAACATTCTTTGGATAAATTGAGTTTTATTGCGAAATTAGGCTTTGAAATAGACTTATTCTTTCACTTTTTCCTCTACTTTCCACTTCACAAGACTAGTACTGGTTGAAAAAATTCTGCTGAATGAGTAAGTATACATCATATGAGAACAAAACCGGCTTTTTCTTCAATATACACATTTACTGCTGCCGATAGGTGGGTGTTGTGTGTATGTGGTATCAAAAAAAAACGTGGCTGACTCATCTTACTAATACCAGAAATTTTCGAGAAGCCACGGCGATCTACTCGTATTTTAAAACTTTGTTCATGAGAACTTTTTTCGACTCATTCAAAATTAACAAAAATATATAGCAATGAATAGAAAACGGATCATTTATAGCACTATGAAGCGTTTTGTTGTGGCCTTACGAAGAGTTGTTGCTTCATCGCCTCAACTCGTTCAATATGCTCCCCTCCACCTCCTCCTCCTCCTCCCCTCATCATCATCATCATCATCATCATCATCATCATCGTCGACGTCCTTGTTGTACTGTTGTTTTGCCGTCTCTCTTGCATGGATTCATCGTTCGACGTTTTCTATAAGCCATTGAATCACTTCAGTAACCGACTGATTCATACGTGTTTCATATACTTTTCCTCGCTTCCTCTAATTCAGACGTTCTAATCATTCAGTTTTTTTTTCATTTGTTCAGTATTCATTTGTCTACAGTTCTTTTTCTATTCGCTTTTTTTCCCGTTCTCGACGTTACTCGCTCTGCCATGTGATTGTCACAAATACTTTACTGCTTATCTTGATGGGCAGAAGCGATGTTGTTAATACTAGGATTTATTGAACACAACTCAGTACAATGAAACAATGGCTAATATTTCGGCGGTTGAGCCTTCTACACATCCGCTTTCTTGCTTTTGAATTTTACATTTTTGTTTTTGAAAGGAATCTAAGGAATCTGAACGGAGTCCTCCATAGAGTAGGATTGTATTGCATTACTGAATTATTCAATCAGTGACGAGGTCAATAGAAGCAGGTCCCGAGAGTTGTCTTTTATTTGAATTTCTTGATGATTATGAAGAGATTTTGAAAAACCCATCTAAATGTAGTTCGCTTTATATGTACATAGAAGATAGTGATGAGTAATATTCTCGTGCTGACATGTGTTCTCATAATCTTCCTTTTGCACAGCTTACCTGATTTCATTGTTTTCGTTTAAAAGTCCGCTTGAGTGAATGTTGCCTATCGATTAGCGTGGATTACTAGTAGATGCTGCTTGTTTTTCACATTTTCGAGTTGCTTTGGTCATATTTCGAGCACGCATGGCGGCATCCTAGACGATTACAATTGTTTCTTTTTTTTTGCTTATTCTCCCTTCAGGTTTGAATTTTTACTGCTTTTATTATGAATTAGCTTTCATAATAAATGTACTCGTTACCTATCCATATAAAATTGAAATTTTTTTCACTATTACGACATCGCGTTGCAATAAATTGGAAAAACAGCAGCAAATTCTCATTTGTTATCTATTATTAATGTCGTTACTGAAGTCATATGGTACCCATTTGCTTACAGTTTTTTTTTCTCATTGTTTTCCACATCCCTCAAACAATTTCAGATGTTCAAGAATCACTGAATTGCAAACAACATTGGCAGCAAACACGTGAACCGATCATGGTACTCGTCGACAATTCTCCATTAATACTCTCCAAATCAGATGCTATTTTATTCATCTACAAAATACTAATCATTTAGCGCGATTGACTTCATCGAGAATGTTTTTCTTTCAATCAATAGGCAAGAACTCATAATATCCTTTCAAATGTCATACGTCGTCGACAACTTCTAGGATCATGTAAACGTTATGATGAAATACATCTAATAGAACGTTACCTGAAATATTCACTAAAATTCGATTTTCTCATTTGTCTTTCCCTTCATTCTCGAATCGACGTTGGAAATGTAATTAGATCATGGAAGAAAACGAACGCCTAATAATGAGAACGTTATTACGAAAAAAAAACGAAATATATTTACATGCATTTATATACATATATATATATATATATATATATATATATATATGCTAGCTACGATGTGTACGATACGATTTAATCGTATTATATATGTGTATAGAAGCATATATATATATATATATATATATATATATCGTCGAGTAACTCGATCGGGTACTAGCAACACTTCCATTTTTCCCTATCGCGTGCAAGAGTAGCCCAGTGAGTCTTCCTCGCTCTAGGGATTTGCTGAGCATCATACCTTTCTTCTATAGCTTCCGTGAAGAAATGGCACCATCGGGTGGGTGGTGTTCCTGTAGAGCGCTTGATGTCCTGAGGAATCCAGTCGGTAACGGCTCTCGTCCATCGGGTCATGACGACCCAAACAGTAACATATATCATACGCAAATATATAGGTGTGTATACTTCAGATTTTTTTAAATTGTGGTTATTCCTTTTTGGTCTTTGAACTCTTTTTACTTTATATCTAATTTTCATCTTCACTTATTTAGCTATTCAGGTTCTAACTATTAACGTAAATTATAGATCTTTATTAATTAATCCATTTTAAGAGTTCAATCCTTTCCAAAACAAGAATTTGGTTCGTTTTTTTTTCTCTAAATTTTGATAACCATAGTCGCTATCAGTGGACTCAACTTCCTATTAATTCATTGCGTACAAACGCATTATTTACCCAATAACGTACATTCAATAAGGAAGCAGATCAATCACTCCCTTATTAATTTCTAATTCAATCATAGGAGATTTCTTCGTAATTTACCATTTACCGTATGCCTCCTTTTTCCATTTTAGCACTATATTTTTCTGCAGAAGCCATTCACATCAGCATCAATGATCTATCTCAAAAATTTAGAAACTGTCTTTTTTTCCAAGCATAATCAAGAAGATCCGTGCACTAGTTTGCTCTCAATATCGTAAATATGT